ACAATAATGGTTCAGTTATTTGTTTTAGGATTCAGTCTCTTCATTCTTATTATATTAATTGATGTATATGTCTTATTGGTATAATCGTAGGCAGTGGTTTTCAGCTTTGTGTCCCACACAACTCTCTCTTTCACTTGGTCTCTCTCCTTCTCTTAGCCTCCCTGCTTTGAAAAAACAACAACACACACATATTCATCTAACAATGGTTACTGGAATTCCGAGCCACAACCCAAACCCTGCCCCCACTCTGAAGATTCAGATACCTGAATCAGGAATCAGGTATCCATCCAGATAGTTGCAACAATTAAAATGACTAATTGCTACATGTGGAAGCCATCTTCAAAAACTATCTGGCACATTTCTGTAATGTTGCTCCAACCCGGAACCATGTGTTTTGATATAGGACCGGAGGTGGAGGGATGCTGAATGACAAGCAACCTTTTGTCCAACAAGCTTGGGAGAGACATTCTCGACTAGACATGAGGACGAATATAAAAATGAATGAGGATATTCATTAAATACCCCTGATTCATCAGATATTCTTTGCTTCATATTCTTGGGGTCTAGAGACCTCAGCAAATACAAAGCAATGAATATAACCCTTTTATATTAATCCCTTCATTCCCTATCTGATTATGCCCCTGCAGATCAGCTATTCCTCGGGGGCATAAGCAGAGAGGGATTCTCCCTTCAGGTGGCTTGCTAAAGCCTGCCCGAAGAGGATCCTACCCCTGCAGATGGGGGGTGGCTTGGTTTGCCTTTTCTCCTCTTCCTATACCCACGCAACATAAGGAGAGGGAAGGGATCAAAGAGGGATCAAAGGGATCCCCCAGCCACTGCAGGATCGCTTTGATCCCTGCTTTGCCTGTTGTTGCTAAGCCCTGGGGCAAAGCAAGAGGAAGGAAGGGGGGGAATGACCCAACAAATGATGAATTGATTCGTTGTTTGTCAGGTCACTGGGGGGCAATTCGTCATTCGTGGGTCATCAAGTCTGACAACGAACCAAGACAAAGTGCCAAAATGGCACTTAGTCCGCATCTTGATCATAAAGATGAAATCTGAAAACTACCACCTCTGACTTAAATTGGCAGTCTAGAGTTTTAAACTTATTTTCAGCAGAGAACCCCTGGCCTACAGGTCTGCCCATGCTTTCGGGCACTTTTGTGTTTCTTCTGCACCATCCCCCAGATCTCTGGTGCCCAGCCTGATACAGACTATATAGGGTCAAAAGTCAGCTTATGTTTGTAATGTTTTAGTGGTTTAATAAAGGTATTATCCAGCCCTGCCTACGAATACATTTTCCTGTATGACTCTCATAGAACAAGACAGGATCATATTTAAAATCAAACCGAAGAATCCAACTTGGGCAGGACTACAGCTGACAGGTCTCAGTGTACCAGCTCAGTCTCAGATTTGCTATATTTCTCCGGGACTCTAAAGGGAGGGACAAATCTTAGGTCAAGGAGCACTGGAAAGGGAAACACCCCAATTTGTGTGTGTCTGTGTGTGCATGCATGTCTTTAAAGCCTGGGCACCTCTTTCTAGCCATTCTTTCCTGGTTGTAGGGCTCACTGAATCAACATGCAGGCATTTTGTGTGTGCATGGGTCCAAAATGGACAAGGGATGCTTTTGGACACTCTGATTTTGGAGCCATTGTGCCACCTAGAGTGAGACAGTGAGTGGTGCATCAGCATCATGATTCATGAGACTTCTTGTTGCACAACCCTGGCAGCAGCAGTGTAGTGCCAGGGGGCAGGGTCTCTCAACCTTTGCCTGGTTTACTTGCATGCCACTGCAAGATCTTCTCTGCCTTCTGGCCTCAGATTTGGACACTGAAACCTCAGGAAATGGGCTTTTATGGATTTGACAATCCGAGATAAGATATGCATGATGTGTCTTTCAGTGCAAAAAAGAAAAAAAAGAAAAAGGAATAGTAGTAGTAATGCCCTACAGTGTATTAAATATGCTGTTTGTGCTTGCTTATTCCATTGGCCAAAGATTATTTCATGAGCAGACTAGATGCAAGTACTTCAATTTAACGAGCTCTTGGATGGAGAAGATTAACTGAAACCAAGTAAGATTTGAGTTGAAATTAAAAACAAAACAAACCTATCAACAGTGGGTCTTCTTGCCCTAAATCATGTTTTGCCTCTTCTCACATTGCTTGGCTTGTGTTTTGTTTGGAAGGAGAAAGAAGGCAGAAAGAGAAACTACAAACAACTTTAACATGAATAGCCCCACATGTAAACCAATTTTCTTTTTTCTTTTGCATCTGCATTTTTACTTTTGTTTTAATTAGTTCTTCATTATCCACTCTAAGCTCCCTGAGCCATATTCCACGCAACAGAATGGATATCACAGATTATTGGAAGACAGTGTGGGTGTGGAGTGGGTATGATGCATGAGGTTTCCAAAGAATTCAATTATGTACCTCAATAAGTCACTTATAGTCTTTACGTTATGACCAAATACTACACGTTGCAGCAGCTAAAACATTTTGCTGCCTGTCTGGTTTATGATATTCTATTGCAATTAGACAAATTGACTTGGGTGAGTTGCAGTACACAATTCAATTTTTAGAGTTTCACATCAATCACAGACATCCACCTCCAGGATGGTTTGGCTTTCTTGTCAATATCACATATCTTTAATAAATTGCTGTGTCTGACTTTCCTCAGCAAAACAGATAAATAAAATCACAGAATTATTGGACTACATATAATCTAAAAAGCTCTGAAAAATGAAATGGAATGCAAGAAGTAACCCTGAGTTTTGCTGAGTCTCTTAATACTGTACCATCGTGAACAATCCATACATAAGAAGTGTATTTGTGGTACATACATACCTTAATCCATTTCTCTTAAAAATAAATTGTAATAGGCATATCTAATACAAAGCTGACCAAACAGGGTCTCTTGAGATTTTCATGCCATTTGAATGTGAGGATTACACCAAATGGCATATTGGTGACCCTATTTAACACGCTCCAGCAGACTGCAACACAGCTGTGTAAACAAGCTAGAAGTTGGGATCAGAACTCATCCTTCATAGCTGTATTTTCAGGATAGCTTCCAGATGGTCTTCCAGATGTTGTTGAACTGCTGTTTTTATAAACCTACCATATTACCCTGCTGGCCCGGTTTTACCTGGATTTTAGATCTATCTTCTGGTGCCCATTGGCTGGCCTGGATTATAAGCTTTAAAAAAAAAAGAAATGAAGTCTCTAGTCCTTAGAGGACCAGAGGTACAGGGCAAACTGTGCATCACTGCTTTAACCAATTATTTTATAAGAAACTAGCCTATCTATGTGAGTGAAACTATGTATAGTTTAACAGGAGCTTAGAGATGTGTAAACCACAGATTCTCAGTAAATGTTGCATGCTCGGTCTATGCAGAGCTGCCTACAAACAGAAACAATGAACCCACAGCAATAAATGCTGGCTGAAGGATTATCAGAATATTATACATTTAACTGCATTTCCAGCTTTGGCAGGAATCTGTGATGCTACGGTTTTCCAAAAACATCAAGATTCCTTTTGTCTTCTACAAGCTTCAGAGAGTTTAACTGGGAATTTAGGCATTGGTGCCCAATAGAAACAAAGATTAGCAAAAACAAGGGAGGGGAATATGATTAGAAGCTTCTGCTTGTTGTTGTTGAACTTGAGCTTGTGGATGTTGTGAATATTAACTTTCTAAAAAGATGTTTCAAACAATAAGGACATGGCAATGGACTTTTCAAGTAATTAAATAAATAAAATTTATTGAATGAAGAATAAAAGACCATCCATGATTTCCTGTATATGATTTAGATACAAACACATAAATAAACATTGTTCTATCGGACCACACTGATCTAATAGTCATATTTGGTATAGAGAGGAACAGATCCTCTGGTGGCAGCGGAAAAGGGTGAAAAGTACATGTCATGCCCGAAAGGGAATCTGGGTATGTAGAAAAACAAACAGGGGAATGGGTGTGTGTGTGACAGTAGGTTTAACTGAGAAATACTGACTTGATACCTTGGGTGTTTGTGACTAAGAAGGGATTTGAACTTAGGTCTCCATCTTCAAAGTCTAACACTGAGGCCATTACATTATACTGGCTCTCCCAGATCAGCAGTGATACATGAACACTGCCAAGGCTGAAATACAATGAAGGTGCATGTGAGTGTCCTCCATGACCACCTCCATCATGATGCAATGAGTACTTGCAGGAACAAGCTCTTTTATTCAAGCCACACCAACTTTTAAAGAGTCAATGTGTCTCAGCAAGAAACTTATGAACTTCTGTGGGGGCCTAGGAATTCACTCCCAAACAGTCCCAAACAAACAGATTGACTCCACAGCAGCCCTTCACTGGGAGAGTGGAGCCCTGTCTCCTTTACCAGCTCTAGAACCCCTTGAAGGTGTGCCAGACACAGAGTGCCACGAGAAAGATGCTGAATTCAGGCACTCAGCCGTCATTGCAGTAACGTGGTCTGAGCACCTTCCCCAGCAACACCTTTATAGTCTCTGCTAGTGGTAGCCATTCGATACTTGTGACACTTCACCTTGGAGGCATGGCCAAAGTCTATGTGGATATGGTTGGGGCTCACCAGTAGCAAGGGGTGAAGGGGGATAGGATAGGAGAAGGGCAAGTCAACTGGTGTTGGCTATGCTGATAGGGAGGTCCTTGATGCAGGGCTGTTTGCCTCTGTTCCTTGCTCTGCCAGCACCATGCCCATATCTAGTTAACAGCTTTTTCATCTTGCCTTGCCTTGCCTCTTCTCAGCTTACCTGGGCTGCCACCTCCACTGACATGAAGAACTCCTCCCAATGCCCTATGCCGGGATCCTGCCAACAGATTGTTTCTCAGTCAGCAGTCAAGCGTTCTTGTAACACCAGCATCTCCTGGCCCTCTAATGCCTCCCAGCCAACGCTGGAGATCTTTTAGCACATGAAATTTAACACAGTCAAAAACAATAGAACACTCCTAATGTCACATGAATTGTGTAGCATCTTTGTTTATTGCTGACGTAAGGTTGAGATGCATGCATGCACTATGCAAAGTCAAGCATATGGTTTTTCCCCATGGAAGCTCATTATTATTTTGTAAGCTCAGGAACTCAAGACCCCTGACTCTTCATTGCAGAATCTTCTGTATTCCTTTTGTTCACATAATAATCCACTTGATGAGTGGTTCAAGTTTCTTAGGTCCAAGAAGCACCCTTGCTTTGAATGGGATGATCTCCACTTGTACGTACTACGGCAAGACAGAGATTATGTAGGATCTCCAAAAGCAAATTATTACACTCCATCTCTACCTAAACAGGTTACTGGCCTAAGGTTCTTCAGAGAAAAGAAAAAAAGAACAAGCCAACAAAAAAAACCCCCTCCAGTTTTAAAAAATCCGGCTCCTTAAAGGAAATGTTGCGCTACAGCCTTTCCTAAAAGATCCCTGAAACTTTTGATTAAACAGCTGCTGATGCTTGGAATGAGAATCCCTCCAAAGTTAAGCACATCATAAATCCCAATTCTATTGGGCAGAATACATCGTTCAGCCCAATTGATCAGCATGTTATTTGGAAATTCGACTGAACTCATGAGTCTGACTCCATCTGAACATGCACCTAGTAATGCAGCCTTTTAAATTTAGTACTGCTTGAATAAAATGCTTTCCTTTGGCTGGATCATAACCAGTTTTCTTTGCAATTTCGCCAGATTTATTAGTATTCTACCCACATGTTTTACATTTAATTGGGTCAGTTTACATCTCTTTCATCCTGTTAATATTGACAAATAGATGTCTTTAAGCTGTTCAGCAATATTTCATAATAAGAACATTAGCCAAGTCCCTTGATTACACACAGCTGCTACCTGATTTACTGCAGAAAAACTAAGGGAAGTGGTTGGATTATGAATTTAGCCAAGTACTATTATTGTTACTGTAAAAATAAATGCATTAATTCTATTATTATTATTTTTCACTATTTAACACAAGTTTAGGATCAGTTGCACTAACTGGGCAGATCATAGCCTGACTCACATCCTGTCACTATGCTTTTAAAAGCAGCTCTCCATTTGTTCAGTCAGAAGCATCTGTCTAGTAAATTTGTTTATATTGCACCTTTTCTCCAAAGAGCTCCTGACTGGGGATGTGGCTCTCGCAGTCCCTGTTGGATCCTCACTGTGAAAGCAGGCCACACAGAGAAAGTGTGATTAGGCCAGGGTCACCAACTGAGATTCATGGTTCAGTGAAAAGTGAGATTTGGATCTTGTGAGTCAAAGTTCAAGATTCTAATCACTAACCTAAATTTCTCTTAAGGAATATCAATGTGTTGCATGCATTGTGGTGGAGGGGATATATGCCTGTCAACCATTTTCTTCCTTTCCCTTCAGTTATATGCCTGAACAAATCTTTTCTATCCTGCTCCAAAATGAATCAAGTAAATCTAGGGCTAGGAGCTGGAGAAAGTGTATGGAACAGAAATGTATTTGTCCCTGTCCAAATGTTCATTCTTTCCTTTGATTACATTGGCCTCCTAAGAGATTTCGCAGAGAAGCCCTGTGTCTCTTGAAATGAGACACCTTGGGTTTGCATCACCTGTCCTGTTGAGTCAGATTCCACACAACTTTGACAGTTTTGAAAACAGAATTCAGCATGGTCAGGTGATGTACCTCAGTGTTACCAATCCCAAGGGTAAAAATGATGGAAAGAGGGAAAATACCGTATTTTTCGCCCTATAAGACGCACCTGACCATAAGACACCATCCATATTGTGCCCCTTAATTGATATTGCCATCCATATTGTGCCCTTTAATTGATATTGCCATCCATATTGTGCCCCTTAATTGATATTGCCATCCATATTGTGCCCCTTAATTGATAGCGTCATCCATATGTGCCCCTTAATGTCACCAGTCAGCAATTCAGCCAGGAATTCCTCTGTATTATGTTATTTACAATAAAAAAGGGCTAGAAAAGCAAACGGGCTGCAAGAAGATAGTTGAAAGTCTGCTGCTGACTTGAATAGATTGATCTTGGTTCTAAGGAAGTATAAGGCAGACTGGAAAGCCCTACTCAGGATGCTGGGCTTTTGCTGCCAGCACTGCATGTTCCTGAGCGTTAAAAGAAGTTAAAAAAACCACCCACCAAGAAATGAAGCTTTCTGAGATGTAAAGCTGAGGGAAAGCAACTTTGCAACAGTGAGAATGAGAATGACTAAGTAATTGGCTTTGGACAAGTTGTATGGTATCTCTATAGGCAGGCCTGGTCCCATGTGAGGAGGTCTATTACGTTATAAAATACATTTTGAATTATGTGCACCATTAGAGGAGTGAAGTAGACACCCCAAGGCGCAATACATCAGTGTAAAGTATCAAATGAAGAAAGACACCTTTTGGCAGGTTGAGCAAAATTCAGGTCTAAGATACCATTAGAGTGGGTTGCTTTGAATAGAATGACAAATCTCAAAAGAGCTAAAAGTCTTTCACTCAAGTGAGCAACTGAAACAAATCCTACTTTTCACCAACAATGTCTCAGTCATCCATATGTGCCCCTTAATGTCACCAGTCAGCAATCTAGCCAGGAATTCCTCTGTATTATGTTATTTACGGCACCTGGACGAGTTTTCTCCCTTCCTCTGTGGCACTCTCCCCCCTCTCTCTCTCCCTGCTTTCCCTTGGCGTCTGGGCTGATCACGTGATCTGACTGTCCAGTAAGCGGCGCTGCTCCTACAGGGCTGCTATGGATGCCCTGTAGTACCAGCACTACTAATGAGTACAGAGCCCAGCTGCATATGACAACGGCATGGGCTTGGAGGGGGGTTCTGCTATTGTCTACAAATAGCACCGTTTTTTACAGTATTCGCTCCATAAGATATACATACTTTTCCACCCACTTTTTTTGGAGGAAAAAGTGTGTCTTGTGGAGCGAAAAATACGGTAACATGAGTTTCCATCAGGACTGTCTGAGTTTTAGGATCAAGACAATACATTTTGCTGCTTAAGGCAAAGGTTAAGATGTTCCCCCTCCACCCTAGTCCATAATTCAGAGCTGAATGGACAGTCAATTGAATAGTGGCAGTGGAATAGCGCAACACCTGAGGGCAGCAGTTTTGGTGGTTTAGGAAAACCGGACTAGGCATATTGCATACATAGCTCAGAAGATAGTGTCGGGGGGGGATCAATGGTCTGTCATTTTTGACAGGGTGTCTGATAATGGAGACAGCTACCTGATCTCATCCTGCCAAATAACAGGGCCAGCCTTGAGCAGATTACAGCTGTTACCTGCTTTGGGCTGGATCACCCCATAAGGGCAACATACAATGAAAGAATGAGAAGTGATGCAACTATATTCTCTCTTCCATAGTTACCGCTTTAAAGCCACTGCTTGTGGCCTACATGTAAGGAGTAACATTCAGATTTATCCTACCTTTATGAGCTACATGAAAGCACTGTATTTGGGGAAAGGGGTATCCAATCCCGTCTATGTACTTTAGTTAGCCAAACGTGGGACGTCGTAAAATCATCATTCTTTGTATTTTCTGGAGCAAAAAAAGCTGCGAGAAAGAAAATACCATTTTAGGACCCAACACATAAACTAATGTTTCTGTTTGCATCTTCCATTAGTCATCATTACCCACCCATTGGCAAAATTCAGAAGAATAATTTCACACTTGACTCCCGTCTGAGAATGCCTCATACACAAATCTAATAAACCCAAGTCCTGATGAAGAAGAATTTATATATTGTAAATTTGTATATTCTTATTCAATGCTCTTATACATAAAAATAATTAACAAACTGATACAATAGACATGCCTTAGATTACGGTGTGCTGCACTTTCTCTGAAAGAGAAATTGTTCTAGCATGTTTCCCAGGTAAGACTGCTACTCAGATCCAGGCAAGACATTTGAACATTTCCTCTTTTTTTCAACATGTGAAATACAATTTATTTAATTGAGGTCACTACATTCTTTATTCAGTATTTTAAGAGATTTTTTAAAAACCAAATACTTTTGTTAATGTCATGAATCGGTGCATGGCAGCGTGCAATTGTTATGTGAAAAGCTACTGTCGTTCTTGTTGTGTGCCATCAAGTTGCCTCCAACTTATGGTGACCCTATGAATGAGCAGTCTCAAAAATGTCCTACTAGCCATACATTAAACTGACCTCAGTTTGGTTTGTTATGATCTTATAAGAGTCAACAAGCTCCACCATATCTATGATATAGACTGAGGGCTGCTTCACATCTAACTAACAGATGGATGGTCCTGTTCTCCCACTGAAGAGATTCAAGGCAGTTCCATGGAGTTTTCCTACGACAAAGTGCATATAATGACGCTGAGGTGCAATCAAATCAATTCTGAGATATGGTGATCCTTTCCAGGATTTTCTAGAAACAGTCGTGCCCCACTTTACGATTGCCCCGCATTACAATGAAACCACATTACGACAATGTTTTTGCGATCGGAAAACGATGGTCTGAATAGGCTTTTTTCGCTTTGCGATGATTGGTTCCCTGCTTCGGGAATCGATTCTTCGCAAAACGATGATTTTCCTACAGCTGATCGGCGGTTTCAAAATGGCCACTGGGTAAATAAAATTGTTCCCCGCTGTTTTCTGGGACGGATTCCTCGCAAGACAGCCACTGAAAATGGCCGCCCTATGGAGGATCTTTGCTGGACGGTGAGTTTTTAGCCCATTGGAATGCATTAAACGGGTTTTAATGCATTTCAATGGGTTTTTTATTTTCGCATTACGATGTTTTCATTCTACAGCGATTTCGCTGTAACGAATTAACATCGTAATGCGAGGCACCACTGTATAGAATAATCAGAAGTGATTTACTCATCCCTTCCTTTGCAAAGGTTTTATTTATCACAGCTGTTCACTCATCCCAGAAGCAGCAAGAGAGGAAGCTGGAAATTGGGCTTTTTCTCAGGACCAACTCCAAATATTGCACAACTTCAGGCACAGTAATCAATGGCACCTGCCCCACCTGCTCAAATTGTGCTGTATATTACCCAGCAAACTTATATTTTGGCACAGGAGGTAGAAAAGTACACAAGAGACCCTCCTTATCCTGGGCAGTAACAAATGTTATTAAAATTATGGCCAGAACTGCAATGAAGAAATGCAGAGTGGAATGGCAATAGTGCAAAAGGTTTTTCCCCAACAGAGGGTATTCTTGTGTGATCAACTGTGTGCTGGTTGCACAGCTAGGCCTGTCTGCAATCAACCAACTGATCATACAAAGGACAGCCCATGGAGCTCAGCCATTGCCTTTTAAGCAGATGGGTTTTCCCAAAAGAATTCCAGCTGGTACAAATCGCAATTCATAACATTTTCATCACACCCAAATTTGCTATCAGAAGTGGCTTCATTCTGCTTAATGCTAGAGCTGACATTATTTCTTTTTCATTAGACAAACTTTATGAAGACATGTGTACTTGTCATAGAGACATGCGTCTTACCTCTTTTCACTGGACCCTGAAATGGAGGCAGAGGGCAAGTGTGAGGCACTTTGTTCTTCCTTCCACCCTTCCTAGTTCTGTGGGATGTGGAAAGTATCACATTGCCTTCAGATATTTCTGCTGCTCAGTAGCAATATTCCTAAACTCAAGGTGAGCACTGACATGCTGTCGTCTTTTGCTCCAGGGACTCTCCAAGTTATAAGCTTTATAAACCAGGATATTTCTGCACCAGCCAAAGACACCACAGCGTTATTGTTCTTTTGTTTTCAAGTGTCAATTTAATAAAGGAGTGACTATCCCTATGACAGCCAACCCTGACAGATGATATAATTCGCCTGTCAGCCCTCACTAGTGCCAAATTCCCAAGAGCTGAGGGTCCCTTTTCTAACTCGGGAATGGGCCCATTACCAAACTTTTAATGTTGCACTATTTCATTTCCTTTTTCAGAGATTAATCTGAATTATGAGTTATTTTGTTGTATCGGTGTAATAGAACCCTCATCAAGAGTCCAATAAATATGAGATGTAACAACTGGGAAGTAGTCTCTTCCCCCAAGGACCTGAAAGCATTAACAGTTTAGGATGAAAACACTGACAAACGACTGACTAACAAAGATATGCCAGTGTTAGACATGAGGCAAGTTAGGTTCTTGGTGAATACATTTATCTCTCTCAGGAAATGTCTTTTATGGCAACTCATTTGTAATATCCTATTCTGGTTTTGCACAAATTATTTCCCTGGGCACTCCTACTGAACATTAAAAAAGCAATAATTTTCAAAATTACCGCTTTGAAATATTAAAAACATACACAGTGCTAAACACCAAATGAATAACACTGGAGTTCCTTTGAATTTCGTTTTTAATACAGATATCAAACTGTTCCCAGTGCAAGCCAGTTTTGGCACTTGCTTTGCCAAACTGGCCTGTTCTTTGAATGGAGACACTGTTTTCCTGGCCAGCTGGCAGACATGGATGTGTGCAAAACATCAAAAGCACACTGAGATGTTGCTTTTGTTATCCAAATTAATGACAGATGACTCTTAAAAAATGAAACTTAAACTAAAGTTTGGCTGAGACTTGCTCCACAGTAAATGTATGCCTAAGATTTCAGCTTTGGTGTAGTTCTTGTTTTGTTTATTTTGTGTGCAAAAGTCTGTTTATGCAGTAGGTTAAAAAGGGGAGAAGCCATAATATAAGGTAATTGAACTAAGAATGATGAAAGGCAATGTGACTTGAATTCAGCAGAATCCAACACATTGTTTTTATTTTTCAAGGGAAAACATGTGTTTGGGACAGTCAAAACTGATTGTCTGTGTGGGTCTCTGTCTGCCTTTCAAAGCAAAATTTCTTTTATGGGTTTTTCACATTGAACATTTCCCTCATTTTCACTTTAGACGATGCCTGTTCCTTCTGTTTTGTCCTACACAAATAAGCATGGTGCATGCTCTGATCTACTGTTCTTGGCAAATGAATTAGGGTCTCCAAACATTCCTTGGCTTGAGGGCTAACTCTCTTCTCAAGCATGTGAGTTGTCCATCTGAGCAATCTGACTTTCCTCTTTATCTGCTGGAGCAAACAGAGCCCGTCTTAAGGGTCCTTCAATACTTATCCTGAGGCTTCAAGCTGAACTCATGCTCAAGTGCACAAATGCAGTATGAACTGGCAAAGAGAACTGAAGAGCATTTGGCAGAACTGTCATTATAGTACTGAAGAAGAAGAAAAGCCGCAATCCTTGACTCTCCTTCCTTGCAAAGCAAGGATGAGAAAATCTGTTTGTTTCTGTTTCTCCTGCATTTGCATGTTTTAAAACTCAAACTCTTTTTGTCCACAATACAGTGGGATCTCTACTTAAGAACATCCCTACTTAAGAACAATCCAACTTAAGAACAGCTCCATTTGCTAAGTTTTGCTTCTACCTGAGAACAGAAATCCAAAATAAGAACAGGAAAAAAAACCTTTCCTGCTCTTTTTTTAACCTTAGGTCATCTTAGGTTAAAAAAAATTCTCCCCCTAGTGGTAGAGTACATATTAACCAGCTTTGCATTACTTCCTATGGGAACTAATGCTTCAATGTACGAACGCACCGCTACATAACAAAAAAACAGCCAGAACGGATTAATTGGTTTTCAGTCCATTCCTATGGGAAATTTTGCTTCAACTTAAGAACGTTTCAACTTAAGAACACCATTCCAAAACGGATTAAGTTCTTAAGTAGAGGTTCCACTGTAGTTTCTATGGACGGAAAAGAGCAGATATGGATTAAATGGTTTTCAATGCATTCCTATGGGAAATGCAGATTCAACATAAGAACTTTTCAACTTGAGAACCACCTTCCAATACGGATTAAGTTCTTAAGTAGAGACCCCACTGTATGCTATTTGCCAATTAGGTAAAACTTTCCAGAAAGGAACTGCTATAAATTCTTCCCCATTTGCTTTGGCAAACTTGGGTACATGGCTCTTCCTAGGGTAGAGAGAACTGTATTGTACATCCCTGCCATTCAAGTGTTAAAGACATAGATCCTTGAAGACAAGACAAATGGTGGCAATCCTAATTCAGCAGTAACATGGCTGGTCACACATGGCTTCGAAGTCATATTTGTAGTAGTGAAGTACCCAAAATTCTTGAGTTGGTTAATAAGAATCTTAGAATATCAGAGCTGAAAGGGATCATCAATTCCCCCTGTCAAGGAGACACAGCGGAAAGTCAAACTACTAATCTCTGTTTTT